ATCTAGTGCTATTCACTTTTGATCCAACAACAGCGGCAACATCCACTTTAACCAGCTACATCAGGCCAAGCTGAAAAACGCTTTGAAGCAGTGCCCGAATTTTACAAAATAAAAAAAAAACGTCATAAATGTGTTTAAGTTGCACGAGCTTTGTAAAACAAATTAAAACATCTTTTTTTCTCTTTAAGTGTAAAGTTCAGCAGGTCATATGTTTAATGCAGCTGGTGCGAGAGATAAACATCTGGGTATCTCCGCATGCCATAGCGCTAAGACGGTTACATGGGTAGCTGTTGGTGTGGGTTGTTTTTTTACCTAGCCAGTCCTTGTGTACCAGAAAAGCGTCTGTTTTTTTTTAAAATGTATTTATTCTATACTGTCTAGATGTATCTAATCCCAAGGCAGACCCAGCTCCGTGCAGGGTGGATCCATGTCGACCTTCACCTTACCAGTTCGCTTTTTACTAGGGCGGGATGACAAAACACTTAAGGAATGTGTTAAAGAGTGTGCATGGTATCGTTAGCGTGATTTGAAGAGCGCAACAGCTGCAGTGCAGCGAGTAGCTGAATGCACGGGAGATAGGGAATCGATGCTTCTCGTAGTCGAGTACTTGTATTCTATAACACACGACACACGCGATTCTGTCTGTCATCGGTCTCAGTATTCGTATATCCGATTATTAAACCGTTTACTGTCTAGAAAACAGTTAATGTAGCACGGTCTTGCTTACTTTCCACCCCCAACCCTAGCTAAAGTTCCCTCAACACAAACAATAATGTTTGAGATTTACCACCCCACACTTGAGACTTATATCCCCGTCTTCACGATAGCTCTACTAATTCCAAGAGCTTCTGGAGACATTAGCTCCTCTAACTCTCAACTACAGTAGACATTAGCTCTTCTAACTCCCAACTACAGGAGACATTAGCTCCTCTAACTCCCAACTACAGGAGACATTAGCTCCTCTAACTCCCAACTACAGGAGACATTAGCTCCTCTAACTCCCAGAACTACCATGGACATTAGCTCCTTTAACTCCCAACTACAGGAGACATTAGCTCCTCTAACTCCCAACTACAGGAGACATTAGCTCCTCTAACTCCCAACTACAGGAGACATTAGCTCCTCTAACTCCCAGAACTACCATGGACATTAGCTCCTCTAACTCCCAACTACAGGAGACATTAGCTCCTCTAACTCCCAACTACAGGAGACATTAGCTCCTCTAACTCCTAACTACAGGAGACATTAGCTCCTCTAACTCCCAACTACAGGAGACATTAGCTCCTCTAACTCCCAACTACAGGAGACATTAGCTCTTCTAACTCCCAGAGCTATTGGAGACATTAGCTCCTCTAACTTGATGTTTTTCACATTTACTGACATCTACCTAGCTCACCTACCCCCTCTACCTGCCCCCACCCCCTACCGTCGCTAATTACTCAAAGTTTTAATCCTAAACTCATCACGTTTGGCTGCTGACCAGCCTTACTGCTCACCACATGCACATTCCAGCAACTACTGCAGATGGGTGTAACTAGGTTCTTGTCATATTTTGTCTCACCTCTAACTAAAGATCGGTAGCGAAAAAAAAAACCATCAACATGATTATAAAATTGGCAAGTTGTGTTATTTAAAAGTTGGCACGTCGTTCAATTATTTATGATTTCGGAATTAAAATTAATTTCAGGTTTAGCTTCTTTTTTAGCCAAAAAGCCGTTTGAGACGACTAATTATTTTTTTTTTGGAAGGGGAACCCAATTAAAAGACAAATTACTTTTTGGCCGGGGAACTTAATTAAATGACAACACATTTTGGACCTAGAAACTAAAACAAATGACAAATTATTGTGTGGCTATAGAACTTAATAAAATGACAACATACTTTTTACCAGGGAACCTAAGCGACAATGGCGACCATAAAATTTTCAAATTTCATCAGGTGTGAAAATAGCCGGCATAACCTCAGGACGACTAAACTCACGATAAATCTGAACATAAATCTGAACGTGCTGATGCAACAAACGAACCAATCTCGTAACCCATATGATCACGCTAAATGATAGGATCACGCTAAATGATAGGGTCACGCTAAATGATAGGATCACGCTAAATGATAGGATCACGCTAAATGATAGGATCACGCTAAATGATAGGGTCACGCTAAATGATAGGGTCACGCTAAATAGTATGATCACGCTAAATGGTATGATCACGCTAAATGATAGGATCACGCTAAATGATAGGGTCATGCTAAATGATATGATCATGCTAAATGATAGGATCACGCTAAATTATAGGATCACGCTAAATTATAGGATCACGCTAAATTATAGGATCACGCTAAATTATAGGATCACGCTAAATGATAGCATCACGCTAAATAGTATGATCACGCTAAATGGTATGATCACGCTAAATGATAGGATCACGCTAAATGATAGAGTCATGCTAAATTATAGGATCACGCTAAATTATAGGATCACGCTAAATTATAGGATCACGCTAAATGATAGCATCACGCTAAATAGTATGATCACGCTAAATGGTATGATCACGCTAAATGATAGGATCACGCTAAATGACAGGATCACGCTAAATGATAGGGTCACCCTAAATGATAGCATCACGCTAAATGATAGGATCACGCTAAGCGGAGTCACTCCCTGCATTTCCGGCTCTACAGCGGGCGATAATCTGGCCATATGTGAACTTGAATCTCCCCATATGTGAACCTGACTCCCCCATATGTTGTCGGAATGACTCCCCCCTTCTCCCACCCCGCTTAAGCTGCAGTTAAAGCTCGCGTTTCCCCGCCTTCTCGCCAGATGTCGAACTTCGCCACTAGGAGAATTACACACTTGGTCTGATATACTAGTACAGGCTCATACACATTTTTTTAATCAACACCTGCTTTCTACTTAACTGATGCGGCAATCTAATCAATCGTCTAATTTTTAAAAAATTTATTAAATTTAATATGTAGGATTTATTTTATTTACTGTCCCACCCTCCTGCCCCCAGCCCCCAAAGATGGCAGAGTTTGATGGCTGCGAGATCATGATGGTAGTTTTAGGGACAGCGATAAACTTATCACGACAGTCCTAAGTCTGAGTGTTAGGGACAGCGATAAACTTATCACTGCAGTCCAATAAGCTAAGTGTAGCAGACAAAATGGCACTAATTCCTGTTTTAAGTGGGTTCGTGTTTAATCCTCTGGCGGAAACCTAGAGCCGGGACGAGTGAAATTCTAGAAGTACCAGTGTATCCCACTGTATACCGTATCGTTGAGGGGGAGGGGGGAGGTGTGTGCTTGATCTACGGCATCAGGGTAAGGGAGGGGGTGGTGGGGGTGGTGGGACAGTGGTGTAGAATTCGTCAGGGTTTGAATTTCAAGAAATTAAGATGGCAAACGCCAACTGTCTACATTTTTCTAGCGAGATCTTTCCATTACGTGCAGTCCCAAGTTGAAACACAGCAGTTTTAATTGAAATAGACGTTATACTTTGATAAATATAAACTTTCTAGAAAAGCAAATGTATGAAGAAGTTGTACATCGTATTAGCGGTTCCCAAAGCCGATATTGTTATCTAACCTTACATGTTTAGTGGTTCCCGATGTTTTTACCAATCATGTAGATAGACCCATTCAGGACATTTTTACTGTAGGAAACATCTCAAGAAAAGTCCCCCTTTTTGAACCTGACGGTCCATGGGGCAAGTGCAGTAGAGTTCACCTGTTTCCGCGACCTCGGCATATGAAGGGATAGAGTGATCAGCGCTATGCCCAGTCGCCTGTAATTCAGTGTTTCTTTAAGACTTGTTTCTCCAGGTTGGGGGGGGGGGGGGGGCACTTGATATTTTCGGTGGGCGGACTAAATTTTCGGGGGGGGGGGGGGGGGGGCGGACACTGGTAAAAATATAAGTAAAAGTATATTTTTTCTATATAAATTCCATTTCGTTCAAGGGGAGGGGGTGGGGCTAATAGATGCCTGGAAGAAACTAACTCTAATTTCCCCAAAGTGAGCTAGGTACCTATCAGCATCGGACTTAAACTTATTTATATGGTTGGTGTGTCTGCTGTCTGCCTTTTGTCTGGCTTTTTGTCTGGTTGTCTGGTTTGGCTGTTTGTCTGACTGTTTGTCTGTCTGGATAGTTCTTGATCCGTGTACACCGCGCCACACGCATACGATTAGCATAACTGAATGGTAAATGGGAGATGGTAGCTACAGATAAAATGTAAAAAGGTTTTAATATCATCCAGTCACTAGGTTTACAGTTGGAAAGGACAGGGTGAGGGGGGGGGGAGGCTGATATGTGCTTTTTGATGAGTCATAGCTTGTTAATTCACATACGTAGAATAGATTCATGTAATATGCACGCTTTGCTAAATGTGCTGATGTAAACCGTCCCACAACTAGTGCTTTTTTATAGACATGTTTCTTTGGGGGTGGGGGGCACTTAAAACTTTAAGGGGGAAGAAACTTTCGGGGTCAATGCCCCCTCCCCCACAAAGAGATGCCTGAAAGAAACTCTGCCCACAAGGATGTAGAACAGTAGGCTACAACTATCCGTGATAAGCTGTTCGAGGGGTTAACGGGATTCCAGAATATTGCTATGTTTACAAATTAATTGCACAGTTTAGAGAAAAAGATGAATCGGACATCTAAAGCGAAAACGTGCTAGAAATATAAAATATAAAAGAAAAAATAATTGCACTTGATAGGGTGAACGCTGGAAAAGGTCCATGTTGTAAAAACGATCAGGTAAAATATGTGATGTAGACAGTACTTACAAAACCTTCTGACAGAGGTAAAATATGTAGACAGTACAAAACCTTTGACAGAGGTAAAATATGTGATGTAGACAGTACTTACAAAACCTTCTGACAGAGGTAAAATATGTAGACAGTACAAAACCTTTGACAGAGGTAAAATATGTGATGTAGACAGTACTCACAAGACCTTCTGACAGAGGTAAAATATGTGATGTAGACAGTACTCACCAGACCATTGCAGACAGAAAGTGCCACACGAGAGTTGTCGTCCCCAGTCACGTGACCAAAATAATGACATCCTCTGTGAGGCTCGAGCGACGAGATCCTGGAATCCGAGGCGTTCTTGAAGTCTGAGACCTTACGCTCCACAATGGCGGACGGTGCCAGCAGAATCTTGTTGGGTGTCAGCTCCACCGTGACGCGCCCCTGGGGGTGCAGGGCGATCTGGTAGTGTAGCTTCTCATCGTGGGCGTCCCCAGGGGGCGGCGACACGTTCTCGCTCCCCGTGTGTCTTTTAGACCGGCCTGGAAATGTTGGCTTGGCGCGAAGGTCAAAGGTTAAATGGCGGCCGGTGTGGTCCACCCTACTGGGTGTGGAGATATGGAAGTCTGTCAAGTCTTGAGCAAAATTACCTGGGGACAAGAGGGTTATGGTCAAGTTTCATTGGGTCAATATGGTCAAGTTTCATTAGGTCAATATGTTAAAATCTTGAGCAAAATTACCTGGACACAAGAGGTTTATGGACATAGTTTCGGTAAATCAATATAGTCAAGTTCTGATGGTCATAGTTTGATGGTAGTGGTTTCAATAAAACTAAATAATCAAAACTTTTGCAGTAATAGTTTCATGAAACAATTTAGTCAAGTTTCGATGAAACCCTAGAGTCGTTTAGATTGTGCTAGTTTCAAATGGTCAAGTTTTCATAGTCAAAGTTTGATGGCAGTAGTTTCAATAAAACATTTTTTTAAATAATTGCATTTATAGTTTCATTAAAGCAATATTGTCAAGTTTCAATGATACTTGTTTAAATAGGGCAATTTGGTTAATTTTGATGGTAATAATTTCAATAACGTCTAATAAAAGCTATTAGCTGGTGTTATAATATATACAACTGTTTATATTACCTCTTGGTAGTCAGCATAAACTGTTTTTTTCATATTAAATATTTTATTATGTATAGATTCAAGTTAAAACAGGCTGACAAAAAATAGAGATTAAACGAATCAAGTTGAATCAAATTTATACTATCGGGAAGCTCTAATCAAATAACAACGTAAATAGCAACGTAAATAGCAACGTAACCAACTCTCTCAGCCTCGAAAACCAGATTCAGCATCATCAGTTTACTTCACCCGCGACAGCAACTTGAATCAATGCCGTTGACGACCGCAGGCTATACGATGCATGATAGCTCTGTAACACGATGATCAATGAAACTAAACGAAGGACATCAAGAGCATGCAGTAGCGGACTTTATCCCCACCAGATAAAACTAGGGCCCTCTATGAGAATTTGGTCCCTCTTGGCGCGGTTATTAAGTATCAAATTAAAGATAAGGTTAATCTAAAGCTTTAGATTAAAAGCCCGAAGCGGAGTCGTTGTGACGGAGGATTACAATGTAGGCTTTAATCTCGAGTCAAGTTGAAGTTTGTTAAGTCTAAGACGTGCTTCCCCCCCCCCCCATCTTCAATTTGTTCTCTAAGATATGTTCCCCTACCTCAGTTTAGTGTCTAAGATGGGCCCCCCTCCCCTCTCAATAAATGTAGTTACAATATTATCTTCAATGGGCGACTGCTGGAGTTTTAACGTGGGCTAGTCTATGAAGGTGCTGTTATAGTTGAGTAACGTCAAACAAATTTTGACACAACGTCATGCATGTTGGCGTTGCTAAACAAAGTAGTTTTTGCAGCCCAATAATAAAAAGAATACACTGATGTGGAAAATAAACCGAACAGTTGGGGCGAAGAAGATATTAGTAGGTGGCCTGGCTTTGGGATTTGGTTTTGTTACATCGTATCATCATCTTTTCCCGTTCGTGCCCAAGACACATGGGGAAGATGAAGTAGAGTTGATCTGTTTCAGGGACCTTGGCATATTAGGGGATTGTTCGTCAGTACTATGCCCAGACGCCTTTATTTTCAATAACGTGAGTTACGTACCCATCAGAATTGGGTGGACAGGGATAGGTCTACATACTTGAACCCGGTACATCGTATGGTCAGTTTATCTGGTGAATTGATTTCGTGACTTCATTATGTGAGTAGGTTTTTTTCCTACAATAAAATGACTGTAAAAACAAGGTATTCCCGGCCCACGATACTTTTCCAACCTACTCCCCCCCCCCCCCACCTTACTCGAAACCCCTGCTCCACATTAGACCCGACATGAAGCTGGTTTAGTTATGTTTTCTACAACAACCCGGCATCGGTATATGAACCATCAGGGACATCACGTGACAACAGCATTACGTGACAACAGTAGCACATGACAACAGCATCACGTGACCACAGCATCACGTGACAACAGCATCACGTGACAACAGTAGCACATGACAAACAGCTTCACGTGACAACAGCATCACGTGACCACAGCATCACGTGATAACAACATCACGTGACAACAGTAGCACATGACAAACAGCTTCACGTGACAACAGCATCACGTTACCACAGCATCACGTGACAACAGTAGCACATGACAACAGCATCACGTGACCTCAGCATCACGTGACAGCAGCATCACGTGACCACATCATCACGTGACCACATCATCACGTGACAACATCATCACGTGACAGCAGCATCACGTGACCACAGCATCACGTGACAACAGTAGCACATGACAAACAGCTTCACGTGACAACAGCATCACGTGACAACATCATCACGCGGTGGTGCGCCAACAACCAGTGAGTTGTGCCCTGGTCCTTACCCTAGCGCAGAGTCTTCTAACACCTACTGTGATCTCCTACATTACCCACCGCACGCATGGATAGTGGATTCAAAATGTTATTCATCCACCAACCCACCAAGCCATCCAATCAACCATCCATCCACCTACCCATCCACCCACCCATCCTCTCCATCTAACCACCCACCCATCCACTCATCCCACATTCTCCATCCACACACACTCTCCATCCGCCCACCCATCCATCTACCCACCCACCCTCTCAATCCAACCACCCTCCAACAACCCATCCAACCACCCACTCCATCCACCCACCCTATCAATTAACCCACCCACCCTCTCCATCCAACCACATATCCACCCACCCATCCACCCGCCCTATCCATCAATCCGCCCACACTCTCCATCCACCCACTCATCCACCTTCTCCATCCACCCACCCTCTCCATCCACCCACCCATCCACCCACCCATCCGCCCACCCCCTCCACCACCCCTGCTTTATAACACAGCCTCTAAGTGAACAGCAAACGACAGCCGGCATCACACTAGATTAAATATTATTCACCTGTCGTGTAGATGAGAGATAATAATACACAAGTGATAAAACGGTCTACCGTAAGTTGCTCTATTTATAAACCTATCAGTTTGTTTTTCCGGTACTTGTCAAGTCAATGACAGCATCCTAACGATGGTATTTGCTAATCAGGAGACGTCAGCTCTAGACCATTGAGGAAAACTTTTGTAAGCTGATGTGTTTGTTTCTTCAGTTCCTTCACGTACAATTTATGCGTGGTATCCACATCCATCTAGAGCGTGGTATCCACACAATCAGTGCGTGTTATCCACATCCATCTAGAGCGAGTTATCCACATCCATCTAGTGCGTGGTATCCACAACAAATCAAATTGTGTCTTTCAAAGGTTCACATAAGTGCCGCTCTGACATACCACTCTGACGTGTTCCTCTGACGTGTGACGTGTTCCTCTGACGTGTGACGTGTTGCTCTGACGTGTGACGTGTTCCTTTGACGTGTGACGTGTTCCTCTGACGTGTGACGTGTTCCTCTGACGTGTGACGTGAGTCTGGCACGTGACGCTCTGACCCCACGTGACGATGTACCAGATACCTCTTCTGATACCAGCGACCAAGCCAGAGGCGCAGCAATCCTTCCCGGCGCCCGGGGACAAACTTTCAATTTGGCGCCCCCCTCGGGAACCTTTCAATTTTCAATTACCACCCCCCCCTCAAACTTTAAATGTGCAATCCCCCCCCCCCCCCCCACTCTCAAACTTTTCATTTGCACCACACCCCATATATTTTTTATATTTATAATGCAAAAGTGCAGCTAAAAAGAGATTTTAATATGTTTTTTCAAGCCATTTTGGCGCCCCCTAAGGTAAGCGCCCGGGGACATACGTACCCCCCTCTCGCTACGCCTCTAGTCCAGGCGGCCGTCCTACAACTCCCAGCCAGCAGCCAATATGTTGCTGTCGTTTGACGCCGTTTTTCATTTATCTGGCGCCACTCATGACACAAGCGCCAGTGGTAGACTTGACTCCAGTGGTAGACTTGACTCCAGTGGTAGGCTTGACTCCAGTGACTCCAGTGGTAGACTTGACTCCAGTGACTCCAGTGGTAGGCTTGACTCCAGTGGTAGACTTGACTCCAGTGGTAGACTTGACTCCAGTGGTAGGCTTGACTCCAGTGACTCCAGTGGTAGACTTGACTCCAGTGGTAGATTTGACTCCAGTGGTAGACTTGACTCCAGTGGTAGGCTTGACTCCAGTGGTAGGCTTGACTCCAGTGGTAGACTTGACTCCAGTGGTAGACTTGACTCTAGTGGTAGACTTGACTCCAGTGACTCCAGTGGTAGACTTGACTCCAGTGGTAGACTTGACTCTAGTGGTAGACTTGACTCCAGTGACTCCAGTGACTCCAGTGGTAGACTTGACTCCAGTGACTCCAGTGGTAGGCTTCACTCCAGTGGTAGGCTTGACTCCAGTGGTAGACTTGACTCCAGTGGTAGGCTTGACTCCAGTGACTCCAGTGGTAGACTTGACTCCAGTGACTCCAGTGGTAGACTTGACTCCAGTGGTAGACTTGACTCCAGTGGTAGGCTTGACTCCAGTGACTCCAGTGGTAGACTTGACTCCAGTGACTCCAGTGGTAGGCTTGACTCCAGTGGTAGGCTTGACTCCAGTGGTAGACGACTCCAGTGACTCCAGTGGTAGACTTGACTCCAGTGACTCCAGTGGTAGACTTGACTCCAGTGACTCCAGTGGTAGACTTGACTCCAGTGGTAGACTTGACTCCAGTGGTAGACGACTCCAGTGACTCCAGTGGTAGACTTGACTCCAGTGACTCCAGTGGTAGACTTGACTCCAGTGACTCCAGTGGTAGACTTGACTCCAGTGGTAGGCTTGACTCCAGTGGTAGACTTGACTCCAGTGACTCCAGTGGTAGACTTGACTCCAGTGACTCCAGTGGTAGACTTGACTCCAGTGGTAGACTTGACTCCAGTGGTAGACTTGACTCCAGTGACTCCAGTGGTAGACTTGACTCCAGTGGTAGACTTGACTCCAGTGACTCCAGTGGTAGACTTGACTCCAGTGGTAGGCTTGACTCCAGTGGTAGACTTGACTACAGTGACTCCAGTGGTAGACTTGACTCCAGTGACTCCAGTGGTAGACTTGACTCCAGTGGTAGACTTGACTCCAGTG